TCTACCTTTGAGCTATACCAGCAAAAAAATATATCATCGAATTTTAAGTAAAAAATGCTTAAATTATTGCAAAGTTCCTATTGACGGGGAGGGTTGGCACCTCGATGTCGGCTCGTCGCACCCTGAGTTTGAAGTAGGTCTCAAGGGTTGGTCTGTTCGCATTTGAACCTATGACTTTCTGTTCCCAAAACAGAAGCGCTACCTGACTACCCCATATTCTGTAAAACATTTTACCCTTAAAGGAATTTGAAGGAACGAACGGGAACCGACGGGAATGGAACCAGGAACGGCGTGAACGAGCGCATGGGAGGACATGAGAACGCTAAGGGCGAGCGACCGACCCGTGGAAGTGCGTCGAAGGACGGAGGAGAGCAAAAGCGAGAGGAACGGGGTACACCGGCCGATGGAGAGGGCGACGAGGGAACAACGATGATACCTGGGCGGTTATGGTGGCAAGAAGGAAATGTGGCAGAACACGCACCAGAATATCAGGGACCCCTTTGTAGTGTGGGCAGGACGGCCGTATCGCAACTCGAAATAGTGGGCCATAGGTGTGAAGGACTGCTAGATACGGGGGCGCCCAGAAGCTTTATTCGCCCGACTATTGTGGAACGACTGGGTTTGAAGGCACGCATTCTGCCGGAGGCGTACTCCTTCACAATAGCCAACGGTGAAGTTACACTCATCGATAGGGAGGTACCAAGATTGTCGATGCTTTGCGGGGGAGAGTGCTTCACTGGAGATTTCCTGGTAGGACCAATACCGTATTCTGTTATTCTCGGGATTGATTGGCTAGTCAACCACAAGGTGGCGTGGTATTTCCAATCACAAGCTCAAGCTCAGGACATATGTAAATGGGCGGTGGTGCGATCTGCCAGTATTGCCGACACGGGGCATACTGGTCGACTCGGAACCAATCAAAACGGCGGCGGACCACGCTTACGACGAACTGACTAAGCAAGTTGCTAGAATGACAGCGGAAGAGGCGGCAGCGTTTCTTCGCCCCCCCTCCAAACGATATAAATCCAAGCATCGAGCAGGAGATCGGGTGAAGATAAAGGATATCCTAAGGGAGGCGCGGAAAGACACAGCAATCCTAAAGAGGGCCATAGAGGGACTACACTGTGTGGTCGTCCTACCGGCAGCAGAACCTGATCGCGTAGTCCACTTACCCATAGAGCGACAGGGTCCACTACTGTGTGCGATCATAGAACACATGAAGGTAGCACACGATGAGCCAGGCACAGCTTTCCCCAAGCCTGAAGATACGGCATCCGTTGATATAGACGAGTCACCATGGCCTAAGGCTAAACTGCAATATACGGAATTCGATGCGTGGTCTAATGGTCCCGAGGCCCTTCGTTTACCTACACAGATACTTACAGTTCTGCAACAACATCGGCTCCTGTTCCCAGATAGTCTGCCTGACAGATTGCCGCCCATGAGACCCTATGATCATCGAATTCTCCTTTTACCCGGCAGACTACCGACGCGCGCGCCGATATATAAGATGCCGCCTGATCAGCTGGCATATCACACCAAGGAGATAGCACGTTTACCCGCCAAGGGGTGGATTGGACCTACGTACTCTCCGATTTGCGCTCCCACTATAATGGTCGATTAGCGAGGCGATGGAACCGGCGAACGGAAGATGCGAATGGTCGTTAACTATCAAGCTTTGAACGCACTAACCATAGCTCCCGAGTTCCCTATGCCAAGTGTGCAGACGGTCTTGGAAATGATTGGCGGCGTTGCATACTTATGGACTCTGGACCTAGAAGCGGGATTCCATCAAATTCGTATGGCGCGGGAGGATAGGTGGAAAACGGCCTTTCGCTCGCTACAAAGCCTCTTCGAATATAAGGTAATGCCCTTCGGACTCAAGGGAGCACCTGCCACATTCCAGGCAAATATTAATGCATACCTACATCCATTGCTAGGTCATGGTGTCATTGCTTATCTAGATGATGTACTTATATACAGCACGACATTGGAAACTCACGTTCTACTCCTACAGCAAGTCCTCGGCCTCTTCCTAAAACACCAGTTCTACTCTAGGCTGACGAAATGCAAGTTCGGACAACGAGAGCTTACTTACTTGGGATATAGAATAGGAGCCGATGGCATTAAGCCAGCAGCAGGCAAGGTGGAGGCGATCCATTTGTGGCCTCAAGTTCTAACGAACGAAACACAGGTTCGACAGTTCCTAGGTACCGTCAACTACTGTAGGATGTTCATGGGACCCAAGTATGCTGACACTGCACGTCCGTTAGTGGAGTTGACTCACAAGAACTCGCCCTTCATCTGGAGAGAGGAGCACACCGCCGCTGTTCGCCAACTCAAACGACTCCTCTCCGAGTTCACGACCTTGCAGGCACCTGATTCGAGTCAACCCTACACTCTTTATACAGATGCCTCGGGATACGCTATTGGCGCTGTGTTAGAACAGGAAGGCAAGCCGGTGGGATTCCTCAGCCAGGTTATGAGCCCTGCGCAACAGAAATTCTCCATATACGATCAGGAACTCCTGGCGCTCATCTCGGCCCTGCATAAATGACGCCACCTACTCCGAGGCGCCAAGGTCGCTGCCTACACCGACCATCAGGCACTCACGCACCTCCAGCGTACCAATATGCAGAAGCACTTACGTGGACGCACGGCGAGATGGTTAGACTTTTTGGCAGAGTTTCCCGACTTGAGCATCTCTTATCTGCAAGGTGCACATAACAAGGTGGCGGACGCGCTCTCTCAGCATCCGCAGCACACGTACGTGACTTCGATTACATCACCAACGACCCTCGCCTCTCTTATCTCATCGCAGCAGGGCAGCCCGCCGCCGACCTCTCGATATCTCACCCGCTCCTCTACTGGGAACGCGCCCAGCACCAACTTTCGTGCAATAGCAGGAGTACGCGCGACCCATACAGGGAAGAAGAAGACGTCATCCTTTTCAGCAGACCCGGTAGCCTCGACTCCAGCTACATCCGCGGAAGTGACATCGGCAGAGCAGCAAATTCCATCTTCCACTAAAACCGGCAATCGCACTACACCTACACCTGTACTCTCACCTTCCTCACCACCCTACGATCAGGAAGCCTCAATCACGACAGCGGAACTCGCCTCGGGATCGCCATCAGCGCAGGAATATCTGTCGCCACAACGTTGGGAAGACGCATATCTACGCTGCCCTCACTTTCGCGAAATCGTCTTGGCTGAAGCTCATCATAACGAAGAAGAGTTTCTCCATCAGCTACAGGGTCGCAGATATACCTTTAAGTTTTGTCGCCCCTACCTATACATCTGCGTAAATGGCCTCTGGCGCATCTGCCCTCCTACATTGCCCGAATTCCTCTCCCATCTTCTCTATGAACACCACGAACACGTTACCGCTGGACATCGCGGAGAACGGAAGACGTTTCTATCCCTTAGTAAGCTGTACTATTGGCCAGGAATGCGGGCGTACACAACTGCGTATGTGGAGTCTTGTGTGCAGTGTCGCGCATCTAAGGCGCTATCGCAGAAGCCGGCAGGTCTCCTTCAACCGCTCCTCGTTCCTTCGCGCCGCTGGAGCCGCGTTAGTCTCGATTTTATAACAGACCTGCCCCTCACCCCCCGTGGACATGATTGCATTCTCGTTATCGTCGACTCGCTCAGCAAAATTGCACACTTCATTCCCACGAAGAAGTCAGCGTCCACAGCGGATACCATCGAACTCCTGGCCGATAGATTGATTAGATATCATGGATTCCCGGATGTCTTGATTTCCGACCGTGATCCCCGGTTTCAATCCCAGATATGGCAGCAGCTTTGTCAGCGATTTCACATCAAGCGCGCAATGTCTTCTCCCTATCGTCCGCAATCCGACGGTCAGACGGAGAGGGTCAATCGCACGTTGGAGAAAATGCTTCTCACGTACATTCAGACGGACGAACGTGGATGGGAGCGCCTGCTACCGGCGCTCGAGCTCGCTTACAACACCACCAGTCATTCCTCCACAAAAGTGAGTCCCTTCGAAGTTATGATCGGTCAGAATCCTGTCACAGCGGCAGACCGTGATGTCGTTGGTAACCTCGCGCCCACCCTTACCTCGCCTGTGACCAAACTATTCCACCAGCTGTGTGATCGAGCCCAGAGTCATATCCTCAAGGCGAAGCGGCAGCAAAAACGCTATGCAGACGCTCACCGACGAGATGCGCAATACAAAACAGGCGATCGGGTCTGGATAAGCAGCCGTAACCTTCCGGGGCTCAACGAGTGCTCCAAGTTCGGGCCTAGGTTTCACGGTCCCTTCACGGTCTTAGAACGAATCGGCCAGGTCGCTTACCGCATCGTGCTCCCGCCGACTTACACGTGTCATAATGTCTTTCATGTCTCTCAGCTTGTTCCCGACCGCCCAAGCGACCCTCAGATGAAGTCCAAAGAAGCCGCTGTTGGGTGGTTGCCGGTGACGGGCCCAGACGGCACTCCCACCGATATTTACGAGGTCTGCTATATCCTCGACCAACGCGGTTCGGGCGAAGATACCCAATACCTCGTTAAATGGCGTGGTGATCCCGAGGATCGCCCGACTTGGGAACCCGCTGCCAACCTTACCAACTGCCCCGCCCTTCTTCGCGCGTGGCGACGTCATCTCAGGCGCGCAACGAAAGATCAGCGGGGACCTCAGGACGTCGCATCCGGCTCTGCTAACACTGCATCAGCATCGGCCTCATCGCCGACGTTTTTCTCGCCGGGGGGCGAAGGAGTGGAGCGGCACCCTCCGGAAGCCGCACCACTCATAGCAGAGGGCAGCTTAAAGGAACCTGCGAGACATATATTGCTGGGGAACACATCGGACTCTGAAGCGGATCTCAGGAAGTGTGCAATCCGAGGGGCAGGAGACGAAGGTGTAGGATCCGTAGACAAGGTAGTTAAGGAAGTTAGTGGGGTAAGGGAAAGAGCAAAATCAGCTAGAAAGGGGAAAGAAAAAGGGACGGGAAAGGCTGGGCGATGAAATTTCAAGAAGTGACTGGGAAGTTTCAGCCGAGGGGGGAAGTTCTAGTGCATTGGCACTACAATGCACCGTTGTAGGTATCTAGTGGGCAAAACGAGACTAAAATTGCAATAATTAATTTAATTTAACTAATAAAATTTAAGTTAGTGACTCAACTCGCAGGGTCACGGAAGTTAGCTGAAGATAGCTGACACTCGTTAGAGGCAGAAGCATAGTCACCGCGGAAACGCGGGTCGGCCGTACCCTCGCGGATCTAGCGACCGGCCTGGCGGATCGCCANGCATAGTCACCGCGGAAACGCGGGTCGGCCGTACCCTCGCGGATCTAGCGACCGGCCTGGCGGATCGCCAAGCTGGGGCGCAGGGATCGGACTGACATCGGAGAACGAGAACTATTTTGCTCTAATATTTGCCCACGAAACTACTTGTATTACTAATAGAAACGGCTAGTTCTGCAGATCCTGTCCGTAAAGTTACGTACAGCTCCACTCCAGCGGATTCTGCGCGAGAGACTTAGATGCAGCCAGGCATTATATTAGTAAAACAGTGGAGTTCGAAGATAAAGTCTGTGGTCGTTGTGCCCCATGCAGCTGTTAAACGCCGAGCCACCAAACATGAGCTTGGGGCATACCACTGATCCCTTGTCTTTAACTCCAGGCAACGGGAGGTGAGAGGGCGTGTGTGATACCCTGCGACTGAAGTTTTCGTACGCCGCTACGACTTGCATCTTCTGCACGCAGTGTTTGTTTCGTGAGTGCCTTCTATTCACCTTGACCGCCACAGGGAGGCTCAGCAGCGTCAGAGTGTGCAGCTCATGCTCTTGGATGATGCTTCAGCATGAACAGCGCGGCTCGAAGCAGGCACCGCTCACCTGAGGCGACAGCAGCATAGTCCTCAGAAAACTATGTAGTAAGCGAAGAGCCCGAATCAAGACGTAAGTGACTGCAAATGAATGAGAGCTGACGCCCAACGGCCTCAACAGTTAAGCGCCTGTGTTCCCTGTTTGCCCTGACCGAACCCCCCGGTGACTGGTGCCGACGAACATCGGCGTAAAGCTCGAGTTTTGCCGTGCAATAAAATGGAAAGGTGCAGGCAAGGGGTGCGGGGACAGCTCTGCTCTGCCTTCAATCAGGAGTCCCCTGCCGCTATATCCTAACGCCTTTACGATCAAACTACAATTCATGACAGAGGCTGTGCCAGCCATGCTACGATGCGCCAGTCAGCATTGGACACCAGACACAGCATCGCGAGTGAACCTGTCATGCACGAAAGGCACATCTATGGCCCCAGCCAAGCGTAGTAACCGCACCAGCCCATGTGTGAGAAACTCCCCTTTAGAAACGCCAGTCTAAGGGGAGTTCGGGGCCTTAGGGATCATGTGGCCCT